ATATATATATATATATATATATATATATATATATATGTATATATATATATGTATATATACATGTATCAAATTTCAAATTATTTCTCTAATGCAATTATTATATTAAATATTAAATTGATTTATTACGCTTAATTGAAGCTTAAAATAAATCACATATTTGACATTACGTGTAATTTTCAGTTGGAAATTTAGTTATAATATTAAACTATAATGATATTTAATTACATTAAATATTTAAATTAAAAAAGATACAGGTTACGTTTGATTTGATTTGATTTTACATTATGACAAACAATTTCTAATATCAAACAAACAAATAAAAGTACACGGCAATCTCGTTCTTTTTAAATTTCTACGTGAATATTCCAATGGAAAGAGACAAATATTGTGACACTTTAAATGCGCATAGAAATTACAGAATTTCCGATGAACAGATGCCACAAAGGACGAGGAATCTGCTGAAATCGGAGGATATTAATAGAGTATTCACAACGAAGTGGCGGAGTGGAGGGCACTGTACTAAGAATGGAGGAAATGACTAACCAATGTACAACTGCAACGGGAAGTAGTGGAGTCCGTTTTGTATGCGAGATCGCCACATACAACGTTCAGAAACTGGTTTTTAGCATAAAACGTGTGCCTGAATTTAAAATGTACAAGATATTGTTAAGAGAGTCTTTTTTTTAATCGCACCTGAAAGTACGTTTCCGCGAGTGGAAATTGGAATGGAGCTTAAAAGCCAAGTTTTACTCAACCGGAAAATAAATCGGAAATAATTTCTACTTGTTTTATTACTGAACAAATCAATTTCACGAATGTGACAGTAATAGATGATTCGAATATATGATAGTTAAAGAAGAATTATGATGAACGCATTGACAAATATGCTACATTAATTATTTCATTATTTAGTAATTAATATATATATATATATTCTCATAAATAAAATAAGATTAATTTTACTCCTGTGCAAAATAATATCTTATAACTGATTCATATGAAATCTAGTTCGAGATTCAATCTTATTATACTAACTCTTCTCGGTTTCGATTAATTCTGACTGTAATTTGATCGCTCCTTTTCTAAGTAATGCTATTTCTGAGAAAAAGAAGCAAACAGAGAAATGTAATTTATTTAAGTTTTAACTAACTAGTATTAGTATAATCAGTCTCAACAGACTTGGCTTGTCTTAGGAAATTATCCAAGATTTACTTAGCAAATCCTGATAACTTTGAAGCTTAATTTAAATATTTAATTTTAATGACATATAAGTTATAAGTTTAACAGAAATAATCTTCTCTTGTATATGAAAAATATATAACAATTAATATATTAAATTTAATTATCTTAGAGTGTATTTTTTATCACAAAAATTCTTTATTAATTAAACAATGTCTATTTATCAAAGATATTTATATATAAGTTTTTTAGTCGAGTCACATGTATTATAATACTAATTATTAACTGAGTTACTAAGACAAGAAAAAGAGAGAAATATCAGAGAATAAAATCCAAGACAGTGTTTTGCTGACCGGTTTTGATTGGTGCTTCTAGACACTTTGATCTCTTAAGAGCCTTTAAAGTCATCAATACTGCCACGCGAGTGTTATAAAAAGTGCAGAAAGAGGTGAGGAAACTACCACGTAAGTAAGAAATGTTGTCGTCAAGTCGTAAAATCGTATCGGCACGAATGCGAAGTGTGCAGAGTCAACTTGTGTTACAAGCACATCAAATTTTGATATAAAATGTTACTTCTCGAGATCAGTTCTTGAAAAGATATCTCTGCTTTCTATATTTTATTATTGTAAAAGTGTTTTGATAGTTTTTAAAATTACGCAAAATTCGTACGATTAAAGCATATCAATACAAGAGTAGTCTGTTCGTTTTCCTCATAAAAACTCGATGAAGAAAAACTCGATGAAATAAATCTCAAAGATGGAAAAAGATGTGATTCAATTTGTATTACGTCAAGTTTTTTAAGAAAAAAATTTTAAATCACTTATTACATTAAAATTTTAATTGAAGAAATGGCGGCCTATAATTGTCTTTTCTATTTCATAAAATAACTAAAAATATTATTGGGCGGATTTATACTGTGTTTTCCTTACAAATATAACAAGATTTAAATTTAAATACAATGTAATAGCTGCAAATGCAGAAACAAGTATGTTTAAATTTTAAAATCTAATCCAAGGTTTAATCTTAAAATCTGATATAAGAGGGATCTACATTTCTTTAAAAATTCTCAGGTCGGCACTGACTTCGGTATACGTGACTTTACGCATGGTGAATACGGACGCGAGGCGATAAAACGTCCGACGCCGCATCGTGCAAACGGTGCACCTTGCATCGCGATAAAAGAGCTTTCGAGTGGGCGCCGAGAGTGCACGGAAACGCCATATATGGCTGCTAAAAGCGCAAAGAAAGACGAAGTTTCAGTGCGTTTAATCTTATGTGTACGAGCCTTTTCCGATAATGACGATTTCCCCATTATTCTTATAAAGTTGTCAATGTACCGATCACGTCATTCGTCAAAGAATCTATGAATGAATATAAATGCAAAAAATTAAAGTAAAATTAAAATTAAAATAAATTAAATTAAAATTTAAGACATTCTGCACATATTTTTTTCGATGATGTAAAGATTAGGTATTTTAGAAAATCCGATTTAAAAAATTTTTTCTTTCTAAAGATTATAGTTGCCAGAAAAGTTTCCTAATATTTTTATTTTATTTAAATTTGAATTGTATGATGATTGAAGAAAATGCATATAAAAGCATCTCTGTCCTCCATCTAATGCGTAAGAAAATGGACGGAAGCAATATGTTAGAGGTGCATATATGTGCGAGATAGAGGATAAGTGCCTTGCCATCGATCATGATTAACCATCCCTCAATTAGAGCCAGCTAATTGCACAACATGATACACGTAAGTCTTCATCGACATACGCTGTCAGCTTGTAGGCAATTGTGTTAGCGGTGACTCAGAATTGAGATTAGCAGAAGAGCCACTTACGGACGTAAACGAGGCACTTTAACCCGATGGAACTTAATCCAATCGTTTTTGAACGATACATGGGACCAGACGGTGACCAGGCAATAAATTATGGTCGCCGGTCAATGAAACGTAAAAAGAAGGACAAATAAAGAAGATCGATCAATGTGGCGATAATGGTAGAAAAGACGACAAAACGGTTCAACTTCAATGTCGTTTCTTAAAAAGTCATTTAATTTTCAAATCGCTTAATAACTGTTTCATGCTGATTGTTTACCTTATTATAATCAAATTGTGTCAAGTGCTTTTGCAAATTCTGATCTTTTGCGTTATACCTGCGCGCTGTATACATCTAATTAATTAAATAGATATAATATAATTGCCCGTGTACGCTATTACAGTTGCAAGGGTGATAATATAGTGTGAAATTATGGAGCGATATTATACGCATGTTATATTAAATCATGATATCCCACGGGACATTATAAAGTCGCAAATAATTTGTCACATTGTTACACTGTCCGTCCATTTATCCCGAAGAGAGCATAATCCAAATATCTAAAGTCTCTGTCAATATAAATATTTTATACCACTCTCAGTATTTCGCGTTGAATTAATTGTACATTATAATTCAATAATTTTCACAAATTCATTTTGATAATTCCTTTTCTGTGTAGGTCTCTCTTACTAATGATTACCGACCTAATCTCCAAACGCTATACGTGTCAATATTGATATTCCATCTACGTTTTATTTGAATGCATAAAAAAAATAGATGAAAAATGGAAGCAATAAAATTCCAACTATGTTACTACGGCTAGAAAGCTAATCCGAAATATCAAATAACCCCGAAATGTGCGACATTTAGCTTTATTTAAGCTCCTTTAGATCCTGATACGTTGAATACATCCAAATCGCAGGGTTTTTATCAAACGGACAAGAATGTTAAGAGTGAAAATCGTAGGTCAACCGGTATGTCGCATGTAACGATGAAGATAGTAACCAATTGTGAGGGGTCTTGACCGCGTCTAAAAGGGACGAGAAAAGACACGAGGAGGAGGCAGGAGTTATCGGTGCATCTATGGCGGTATTGTAATAGACTGTAAGCAGATCCACGATACGGGTTTATCGTTCGGAGAACAGACATAGAGAAAGCCATTTGACTTTTCATCCAATTTCATTTAAAGCTCCCCGACCACGACATTCCCTGTTATCCCGGATTTTATTTGTTCTGCACGCACACATATTACACACATACGTGTGGTATGTGGCACGTACACCACGTGACTTGTGAGAGAGAGGTGAATGACAAAAAGGCGCGAGACGCGAAGTTTTTCCATCGAAAAGAAGCGAAACTTGCTCCTGATAACGGTTCCACGCTACAATCGCGGTATACGTTATACACCATCAAAATTTAATGTCGTGTGAATGGGACTGGAAAATAGCCGAAAAATAACTCCACACGCGCAAGGAACGCTGACGAAATAACGGCGGCGAGTAAAACGGCCTCTTTTTAACCTGTATTTTCAGAACATGCTATTCTTCGCGAGATTGTTTCCTTTGTTGTTCCGTTTAATTTCCTTTCACTTTCGCTCGCCTTTCACATATTGGATTTCATTGTTGGACGAAAAAATTCTTGACAACAAGAAGCGTTTTCGAGAAA